CACCTCGCTTTAAAAAACACGAATATTTATACGAACCACCCCCGCCCTGCTCCGTGCCGCCCCGCCGAGCCGCCACCAGTGACCGCGTGCTTTGCAGTAAGTAGGGGCATGGGGACCCCCAAAAAAGCAGATTCCCCCCAAAATGGGAGTGTTTCTCTAACCATGGCGGTCTGCATGGAGATGGGGCTGGAGCTGCAGCGTGCGATAACCAGGATGATTAATCTGTGTGTGGGTGTGCGGGGGGCAGGAGGGCAGCACGGGGCTCGCGGGGCAGCGTGGAGGCCGTGCTGGGGATACTCGTGGAGCAAAGCGAGCACCAAGTTGCTCCCGCTGCAGCTGCTCCGTCTCCAGAAACATCCCGCGAACGCCCTGCGTGCCCAGCCGACCCGAGCGATGGGAGGCAGGAACCCGTGTCCTCCCGCTGCCTGCCTGACATTGCTCATCTTGCCCCTTGTAGGTCTGGACAGCAAGGCGCGAGAATGGTGAAGCTGGGGAGTAATTTGAACGACAAGAGCAACAAACAGCCATCCAGCGAAGATGGGTTTCAGACAGTTCCTCTGATCACGCCTTTGGAAGTAAATCACCTGCAGTTCCCCGCGCCAGAGAAGGTAAACCAAGATCAGACGCACACGCACAGCCCCTGCTTCCCACTGCCGGCTCGCGGCCCCCATAACACGAACGGTGGCAGAGCCATGAGACATGCAAAGGATTTATCTTTCTAAATGTGTTTATCTGCTTTAACATAGCAAAGAAGTACCCAGCTGTCCTCTTGAACCTTTGCTATCCCCTCAAAAATAGTCTAATATTAACCAATGTTTTTTCATTAGTTCAGCTGTAAAAAGCTTAGTGTGTGTGTCATAAATGCCAGAGAAACTGTGGATAAGTTTATAATGCAGCATTATTGGTCAGATAATGGCTGGCATTCAGTGCAATACAATGACTCTTCTGAAATGAGCAGCTATTTTAATTCTCTCACTTGAGGTTTGTTTTCTTCTCCATGGGGTGCTTATTTGGCTGTTCATGATGGTGATTTCTCGGAGGAGAGCAACTGCATTCCCCTGTGCAATGGGAGGTGATGGAGCAATCCGTGGATTCACCCCCATTGGCTCCAGGGAGGGGGCAGCTTTTCCCCCTACCCAGTCACCACTCCCAGAGTGGATTGCAGCATGAAAATGTCCAGAAATGTGCATCAGGCACATTGGCTGAGGGGTGGTGGCTGGAGCGTTTTAGATGCGCTGTGTATTATGAGATCTTTTGTCTATTTTTGTGCAGTGACAATGCATATCAATATAAGCTGGCGAGGACATGATGAGACCATAAAATCTGTATGCCCCACAGTCCTTAGAGAAACAAAGCCTATCTGCAGTGTAGTTCCCAGATACCACAGAGATGGAGCCAACTCACTTGAAAGTACAGACAGAATGACTACAGCTTGCAGGGTAATGGAATAATAGTAAGATTTACACTGATGATTACTGAGCATATATCCTGTTTTTTTTTTTTTTTTTTTTTGCTGTAGGACAAAATTAGGTTTCTCCAAATACATTAGAAGAACAAAAAGACAAACTCTGTTTATTTTACAATAGAGCTGCGTCAACAGCCTTGCCATACTGGGAAGTTGACCTGTGTCAAAGGAGCTAGATTAATTTCCCATGTTGGCCATGGCAATCAGCAGCAACTTCAAAGCATTCAGGAGAGTTACACTTCTGTGAATTGTTGTGAGAGGATAAATTGGCCCTTATCAATAGCTCTGATTAATAAGATTAAAGAAAACAACTCAGGTAAAGAAATATGGTTTACCAAAAAAGGCTGAGAGGCTCAAAGAAAATTATAGATGTGTAAAAGTGTAACTCCCTTCATGGATGGTATAAGCAGCTTTGTGATATGTGGATGGCACAGTCAGTGTCTCGGGATGTGAAATTTAAATGACACACATATCAAGTGAGACATGGAAAAACCTAACAAAAATCCTTTCAAGCTAATAAAGTGATAATGAGTGTTTACATGGCCACCAGGTTTCAATTGCCTGCTGGTGAAGACATGTGGGTGTGTATTGGTCTAGTGTGAGTCCGTGCTGATTTTTGTGTTTAAACATGCCTATATCAATACTGCCCATGTTGTTGAGGCACATTATCTTCATTAGCATACATTAGTGTCAATGATTCTCCTGTCACGATGGTTTTTTCTTTGCTGAAAGAGTGGGATGTTTCTCCAGAAGCGATAAGCATGATTCAGAACTCATTAAAGTCAGTCATGTTGATTTCTATAGGCTTTGCTTCAGTTCCTAAATGTAGTATGCTTAGGATTAGCCATGACTGAAAATCTGTTACAGAAAAGAGAAGTCATTTATTATGACCACAATAATTCACTTTTATTTTTGTTTCCCCTTTATTCTTTGTAGAACAGATTATGTTGCAGGGAAATTCACCCTAGGACAGAGGGCCTGCATAAAAAGCTGTTAACAAGGAGCTGAGCTCACGTAACGAGCTTGGGTGAAGGTTAAGTGATAGGGGAGAGTTTCATCTTTGTACTTGGTAAAGCAAAGCAAGTGACTTCAGTGCTCTTGTGAGCCCGAGGAATAGCAGATATGCATTTCTAGTCTTCCAGGCTATTCCTGTTTGGATTTGCTTTGCAGTCAGGAAGCAGGATTAAAAAAAAAAAAAGAAAGCAATTGGAGTTTCTATGTATAGAGTGTGCTCCTAAAACCTGCCAGCTGTTGACTGCAGCTTCTAAGAGTGAGCACACAAACCAGTCTGCTTTCTGGTGTCTCTGCATGGGATGCTGCATAAATCGCTGGAGTCAACACAGTTGGTTTCTGTGAAACAGCTCAGAAGGGCTTTGCTCTCCTGTTTTCTGGAATGTAAATCTATTGCTGCTAGCTTGTAACCACAAGGAGGCAATGTCCTGGGCCTCCAAGCTCTTGTGATTGCAGATCAGCTGCTGTGAATCACATCTCGGTTCCACTGCAATAAAGAGCTTATGAGCCTTGTCCTTTAAGTGATGTCTCCAAAAGCAAACAAGCAATCCCCTGTTAAACATTCATTCTTTTTTTTAGTTTTTTTTTTTTTTTTCTGACCAAGAGAGGGCATCTTCTTTTAATATATGGAGTGCCATTAACCTGGATGTAACCTTCGGTGTAGGAGCAATCCAGGGTGCATGAACATTGCAGAGAGGAAGCCTGGCTGCTCTGCTTGCTCTAGGCTTTAGGCTATGAGGAAGGTTAGCAGTGGAGAAGCTCTGTGTTTGGCTGGCAATTCAAGCTGTGTTAGATCTGCTGCACCCAACTGCTGCTGTTGCCTGTGTGCAGTTACGTCCCCAGGATACGTGTGCCACCCCGCAGCAGTTTGCAAGTGGCATTAATTTATAGGAGCCTTTGTTTCCTTCCAGCGTAGCCTTAGACACCTGTATGCTAGTCAAAGAGAAATAAACCTGTTGTCTGTAAGCATACTTGCATTTGCAGGTCCTTAGAAGTAAACCACAAAGCTCATGAAACTTATGGATTGAGAGCTATTTCTTTCTTTTTAAGGCCTTTAAATACCTATTTTTTTCTTCATTTCAAGGAATATTGCTGTATTTGGAACACTCAAAGGATAGCTCCAAGTGATTCTCGGCATCAGTTTTATAGGTATTTCATCATAGCTTGGTCTCTTGGTCTCTTTCAAAGTGTTTTTTCTTTTCTTTCCTTTTTTTTTTTTTTTTTTTGGTCCGGACCTGATTCCAAAGCAACGATACAGAGACTGAATCAAAAACATGTGATGTGGTATGTAGTTCCTGAAGGCCACTCTATTCAGACAGTTTGTTGATTATAACAAGTAGAAATTATAAGAAATCACTGCAGAGGGGTAAACTGCCCCCACTTTTTTTTTTTTAAAGACTAAACATAAATTTACTGGCTGTGCTTTTTGGGGATGCTTCCCTAGCAGAATTGGTCTTTGAAGTGGCTGAAAACTTCTACCTTGATGATGCTTAAAAATACAGGCACTTGTTTGCATGCTGAGGTAGTAATTCAGGGGACTTGAATTTGGAAACTGTGATAATTTATTTATTTTAAATTCTTGACCGCTAGTCGATCTAGTCCTTTTTCCGTCAAAAGGGGCTATCTCCTATAAAGGTTTGTGTTATTCTTCCTGCAGCATCAACATTTTGGTCAGTCAGCACTTCCATAGCTGCAAGGGAAGAAATGTACCCAGTATGATAATTTCTCCCCTAGGCTCCTAAGCCTGCCGTGTATTTGTACTTATGGACTATCTTCAAGCATTCGTTTGCCCAGCTCGCCGTCTCTTTTGGCTGGGAGGGGCATTTACAGATGGTGAAGATGCTCTTAAATCATTTTTGTGTGGCCTTTTTGCTGAAATCCACCCACGTATCAGGAATAATAGGTATTGCCACCGACAAGCCCTTGACCTAGCTTTTTATGTCTCTGTGTTTCATTTCTTCTCTTCAGAAAATGAAAGGAGAGGTCTCTCTTTTCGGTGCAGGGGGGAAAGGCTGGCTCTTTGCTTGTTTTCCTTGGCATAGACAAAGTGCTTTGGACATAATCGTTATGCCTCTGTGCAGTGGTAATGCTGAAAGACATGCAGCTCTTCACAGGCCCCACTGTTCCTCCCGAAATGGTAAATGAGACCAAGAATGGGGACCTCTTGGTGTCATGGGCTTGCTTTGGTATGGTCCAGCAGGAAATGCCTCTGTTCTGGCAGTAAAAATCCTAATTTTACAGAATACAAAAGTGCATGAAAGCCATTGTCAGGGCTGAAAAAACATCCGGCGTGTCATTTGTGGGGAAAGCTGCAGCAGGCTTATCATGTGGCCCATTGTTCTTTATTGTGACTGCATCTGGGGCTTGAGAAATAATCTCTCTGGCGACAAATTCCTGCCTCCCAATGCAAGAGGAAAGAAAAGATAGATGCAACTGCTCCCTTCAAATGCTTTTCTCACCCCCTGCCCCTGATTTTATCCCCCCTGGCTGCACCCCACTCCACATGGCTCAGGCTGTGCTTTTGTACAGAGTAATTGGGAGCTCCTGAAAATCAGGAGGGCTCCCCGTGTTCAGAGCCTGTCCCTATGTGTTTCACAGGGGGAAAAAAAAAAGTTTCTTCCCAAGCAGCCGAGCTGGTGTAACTAATAGCAGGCTGAATGAGTGCTTTTGTACCTCAGGGACCGCTTGCAGCTCTCCTGCAATACTGCTGTCAGCCTGCCCTCCGCAACGCCAACAGCGCGCAGCAGTGCCAGCCGGGTGGGCGGCGCGGAGCCAGCTCCGGGGTGCTGCTCCGGGTGATGGGCTGGCGTGGACCCGCCAACTTTGCTGCTGGGTGCTGCTCCGGTGCTGCTGGGTGCCGATCCGGTGCTGCTGGGTGCTGGTGTCCCCGTTCCTGCTCACGCTGCCGCGAGCTTTGGGGCTTGGCGTGAGGGGACAAATGACAAAGAGGTGGGGAAGGGAAGAGCAATTGTAGCAGTTGGAGGGAAGAATAAAAGGGAAGGTGTTGAAGCAAAGGGAAAGAAAGCATGAATAAAAGGAAGAAAAGAAAAGATCATAGCAAACATGAAGGGACGGGCAGGCTATTCTTCCTTTTCTCATCCTTTCCCTGTTTAGGAAAGTGCCTAATCCCCA